ATAAATAACTATTTCCATCTTCGATGAATTATTTCTCGCACGATACTGCGGGCAAAATCAAAAAAGGCGGGTATACCGTCCGCTCAGAGTGTTTTGTTCTCTCGTTCTCCCCTCGCTTTAATCGAGTGGAGGGACTTGGGTATCGGCCTTATACGTCCATTGTTCTGAGTTCTACTTCATCAAAGGTGACGCCATTCAAAAGGGCTGGGAAGAGTTCCCTCCAATCGCAACTATGCCGGGCGCGTAAGCTTTTTGAATACTGATTTAATTTCTGTTAACTGTGGAATCAGCGACCTAAAATTATTCTGGAGTCAAATAGTATAAGGTATTTTCCGTTTAAGCTTGGTTAAATAAGCAAAATGATTTCCCACAATTTACATATTTATTGTCTTAATTTTTCCGACTATCATACGGTTTACTTAACATTCCTAGCTGAGCCAAACACATCAAACATGGCCGATTTTGTTAAATAAAACGCCATTAGATTTACATAGGTACATAAGTATTTTTACCATGTACTTGAAAATACCGAGAAATAACATTTTATTTATTGCATACCAATTTTCATTCTCTTTGCAGTTGAATGTGTGGCCGAAAAATCCAATTGCCCGTTTAACTAGGTCAATCCCGAATGGCGTGAGTGCATAGGTGACCAATCGATGATACCCAAATAAATCTTCCCAAAACTCTTGCATTGCGCTTTTGTATTGACTACAACAGAAATGTAAATGATGCAAGGGAAAAATGTCGCGCCAGATTCGAGTTTCGCATGCCAACTCGATTGCAAACACAACAAAAAGCGCAACAACAAAACGAAAAACAAAAACCACACATGTGTGAAATCCATACGCTGACGGGCTCTGAACAATCAGCATACAATCTTACACAAAAAAGGAATCTTTTGTCACCCGTCAACGAATTATTTCTTAGTCGAATAGTTGCTTGACCCAGCAACCCGCAATGTATCGCTTAAATGTACAACAACAGCAATCTCAGCAGCAGTCATCCTCTTCATCAGGATCGTCGTTGTCTTCGTCTGCCAAATCCTCAACGCAGTCGTCGGCCACGAATGCTGCCACCTCCACAATAACAACAACAACAGTCATACCCAGCCACATTTTGTTGCAGCAACAATTGGCGGCTGCCGCAGCAGCTGCAGCGGCCGGCATCAATCAACCGCCAGCTACAATCGCTGCTACGCATTTGCTTAGCGTCGCTGCCATTGCCAGTGGTGACGTCGGCAGCGCGCTAGATCTGAATGGCGGCCATCAGCAACGTGCGCTCATCCATCAACCGCGGCAAGCACATGCGCACCATCGTCTGCACGCCAACAACAACAGCCCCAGCCCCAGCCTCAGCCTTGGCTCGGCTGCAATCGGTGGTGGTGGTGCTGGTGGTGTTGGTGTTGAGTCGCCCTCCACCATCATAACGAATGTGATGGCCGCATCGGTGGAGGAGAAAATAAAAATAATTTCGACTGCCATTAAAGCGGAGCCGCTGCATGAATTCATTTCGCTGACAACTTCGGCAGCTGCTGCTGCGGCTGCGGCACCGGCAGCAACTACGTCAACGTCATTAGTTAACAATGGCGGCTCGCATAGTAAAATCAGCAATACTAGCATTAATCACATCAGCAATAATACTCTAAGCAACAGCAACAACAATAGCAATAAAAATCACGGCAATCCCAGTCCGAACTCGAATACAAACTCGAACAACAGCAACAACAATGTTTTAGCACTCACTGTCAACACACTGCCGTCAGCGGCGGCATCCTCCAGCGGTACTTCCATTTCCGTTGCTGCCAAGAAGTCTTCTGCGGTGAGCGCTGTCAGTCATGCCACCGCAACAACAATAGCTGTGAGTCCGTTAAGCAATGCAAATACCATAAATCTGGTTGTTGCTGGTGGCGCAGCCGGAACAGCTTCTACCTCCAGCGGTGGCGCGGGTGGAACTTTGGTTATCACCACTGGCGGCAGTCATGGCGCAACGCCGTCTTCATCGTCTGCGGCAGCGGCGGCAGCAGCAGGTAGTAGCAGTGGCTCCACAGCCAATGGACATTTAGTTTTTGTGCCCAAGCGCGCACGTTTGGAATGGTGAGTTCAATATTTTCATTTTACCAGCGTTGACCTTGACCTACGCTACACTTTTTTACGCGCAGCTCTTTGGTTTGTTGGCAATTTTAAATTTATTTCAATTGAAACTATAAATTTCGCTCGCTTCTCATTTCATTTATGACTTTAATACTTTCAGTCCTCCAAGCAACGAGGAATGGATTTCCACCTCTAGTCCGGGTAGTGTGCCCAGTTCAGCACCACCGTTAAGCCCATCGCCGGGCTCGCAGAACCACAGTTACAGCGCGAATATGTCGAATGGCTATGCATCGCCGATGTCAGCAGGCAGCTACGATCCGTATAGTCCCAATGGTAAACCAGGTAAGCTAAAAAGATATCACTAATATTTAGTAGACGAAAATGAATTGAGTTTAAGCCAGCGCCTTTGGCGATTGGGGATATGTTATTGAGAGTTTTAAGATATGTTCTAAGGCCTTTCTTAACCGACACCTAGCTGGTGTTAGCACATCGGGCTTAATGTTAGCTTGAGGAAGTCCAACATTGTTATTTTCAATGCACCTATGTATATCAATCGTTTTCTACATATCTGGCCCTAAAATCGTTCGTCGATTTTGGCCGGGTGCAAAATTGTGGCCATTATTATGTTGAAAACCAGCTCTTACAGTTCATCAATCCATCTTCTTCGGTACCAGTAGACATTGGTGGTGGTTTTACTGGTTCCTAGGTAGGCAAAGTCTTTCACTGCTTCAAAGTACGCGACGAATCTTTATGTGCTGCTAGGAGGTGTCTTATCCTCATTCACTGCTAGACCTGACAAGGCGAACCTGCACCAGTAATATAAATGCTTATAAGCTAACACAAGACCCATCTGTCCAAGAGTAGTTCGCAAGTAGTCAAGCGTACTGCTGATCTCTTTTTGGTCAGCGTGGTCGAATCCAGGATGCCATCGCTATACATATAAGTCTGACTAGAAAAAGACCAAACGCAACTGAAAGGGAGGTTAGCCCCTCTCCTACTAGCTTAGAGCGCATCATGAGCAAACCCTGGGTCCTGATGGCCACTGTGCCATCAGCGTAAATATTTCCTCTCTTTCCGACGGCGCCCATCGACTTCTTCTTTAATGGCGGCTACACATGTCAGGAAAACTACTAATGTAATCTTAAAGCCTCCTTGCAAAAAACTCCTTCATCAACACTTCCGTAAAGGTTAGACCTATTCATGCAAATGTTCTCCGGCGCTGGCTTCCAACTTCTACTTACCGTCTAAGTCTGACCGCTATCCTTGCTGTAGCATCCTTACCTATGATGTCAATGGTGCCTATGTTAAACAAGACGTTAAGTGCAACAGTTTCCCAGTGAGTCCAGAGAGAACAGCGGGATCGCCCCGCTCCATCTTTCTGACTAGTGTCGTCTCCTCTAGTAGCTTCAACCTGTTGAGAACTGTAAAGAATATTATGAGTGCAGTAGTAAATAGCCACCCATGCCTTTTTCATTCTTTCCCATGTGGAATCAAGCCCCAGTACTTGACTCTATCAGAGAGCGCCAGGCAAACGCCTCATTCGGGCATCTTATACTTCCTTGTGAATAGTACAAGATCCGTTTTATTGCGATTTACAGCGAGTTATCGGGGATATCCAGAAATTTAAACCTCACTAATAGTACAACGGGATTGGTCTTTGAACTAAATTAGAGCCCAAAGAAATCCTATACATTGTTGTTACGACAACGATTGAACGCAGTCTCGTCATTGATTGCAAGTCGTTGACAGACTAGCATAACGGGTGTCTAATTGCCAGAGCTTTCGACGGCGCACTTCCAACTCCAGGCTGTTCTGTCCTAAATGGTTTTTGACTATTAGATTGATGACCGCTGGTAGATTGGTTTTCAATAAGATCATTCCCCAAGCCATTGGGAAGCTTCATTTCGATGTGTCGAGAGAAAATTATCGTTCCATCCGAGCATAAATCCTGCACTTCAAACTGGCATACTATCTCAGCGCAAGTTTTTCACATAATAAGGCATAGCGTAGCAAAACTTTACAGAAATAACTTGAGAAGGGTAAAACTGGAATAGCCAGCTGGTGGGAAGACCGTAACCGCAGTTGTCTAATGGGAAACCCCTTGTGCATCCGAATTTAATCGCTAATTTCAGCGGGCAAGTCATTCAAGTCTATTCGAAACCTAATTGCTCCATAAAATGCCAAAGAGATAGTACATGTACATAATCTCCTCTTTTGGTCAGATGAAAAAATTGGCAAATGTCTAATGATTCTATGAAAAGCAAAGTGAAAATACAATATGGCTTGGATCTTCCTAATGGATGCTTAAATCTAAATATCCCATCAGTAAGTCGCAAAATTACCTTTTACGAATAAGAACGACATAAGTCGCGGTATTTTGGAAAAATGAAATATTCTTTGCATTATTTGCATACAGTCCGTAGTAGATGCGCCAGTCTAGCACATCCCTAGGAAGCGCTTCAAATGTAAAGCTGGATAGGTGCTTATTGTTGGCTCCGCGAAGGCATTCGGAAGCACAGGCGTTTGTTAAGATTCACAGTTAAATTTCATTGTTTTTAATTAAGCCAGGCTTCAAATTGTTGTGTTGACAATAAACGTGCAGCGATGTATGCACATACATAGATTATGTATGCAGACATGTGTGCATAGGAGAAAAACACTTGTAACCGAGCTGATGTAGAAACAATGTAAAATTCTCAAGCACCGTCCTTCCACGTTCAACTTCCCTTTCCGACTCCAGCCCACAGTAACGCCTTAATGCTGTCGATTTTATCATACACACACACACACACACATTTCTGTAAGCGCAAGTAAGCGTATTAGTTTACCGGCTTGCACGACGTGATACAACGTCTCATGGTCCCACAGTGAGGCGTGCATAGACCGCATTTATCTGCCCGACTACAAATGCTTGTATGCATGTACATTAAAGCGGGTCGGTCGCCATATGTGTAAAAGAAGAAAAGTTGTTTATAATCTTCTCAAAAGCTTAGTTTCGGCGGATTTTTGTGTCATAAAAATATTCTTCCTTGTCACGTTCTAATGAATTACGGCAAAAATTTACTGTGTATTTTACCGCAAGTTTCAATGTATTTTTTTTTTGTGTGAGCGAAATTATCGTTTGTGCCAAACAAAAATATTTTTTATATTAAAAATTTTGAAATGTAGAAACAACGCTCTCCTGTAAAATTTGGTTTTTGCCACGTACATACGATAGTTTCGCGCTAAGGGGTCGATATGCTGGTGTTTATTTATTTTTTTTGTTGCAAATCCGTTAAACTTTTTTTCTTCTAGCTTCCAAGAGTATCTCCCCTTCACGAACGACACCGATTTTAGACAGAATATTTTTTGGTTAGAACCGTGAAACGAGCAAATTTTATAATTTGTTTAGAGAAACATTAACTTTTTTTTAGTGCGGCATCCTAATGTTCAGACAATGGTAAATAATAAAGCGGGGACTACGTACGTGTATTATCGCTTTTATTTGATTTTTTTTGTTTCTTCTTTAATTTCTATGCTGCTTGTTCGACCGACTTATCCTTGAGTGTTGGCATTAAATTACACACGCATCGAAATTCATTAAGAGAGCGTCTATGTTGTGAAGCTGTAGAGCAGTTCTGGCCAACGCGTGCACCTTGTGTAGTTTTCATTTGATGTTTTCACACCAAATGCTAACCCCACATTTCCACAGGCAAAAGTTTATATCAGAATATAAATTGTCAATGGAGACAGCAAATTGCTTATTGCCGGCAATGTACTGTCAGTTTGGTACTATGACAGCCACATTTTCAATTGAACGAAAGCATGTTGGTAGCAACACCGTAGAAACTTCAATATTAAATCTAAAGTGAAGCTGTTTTCTATTGGAACTGATTCAGTAAGTTATTTAGGGTTTCGAAGCCATAAAATAGAGAGAATGTTGTCTGGGGCGTCACGTTGCAAATGCTTATGTAAATCCCAACAAACACTGGAATAAAAAATTTCAAACGTTTGAGAAAATCGTATTTCTCAATTTGATTTTCATCATTGAGAATTCAACAATTATCAATTTGAAAATAAAGGAAAATTACAAATTAAATATGTACCTTTTAGTTTGAGAACGCTATCAACGGTTATTTGAGATGCATTTGAGAATTAACGATTGAGATTTGAGAAAAGGACTGATTCCCAAATGTATCTCAAATTGAGATTTACCAAAAATGTTTATTTCGATCTATCACGACATCAAAATGCCCCCATACAGAAATAGCTGTGCGGCAAGAAACATTTGCCTGTGTAAATGTGGGATAACGATACGTGAGCGCGATGTTATACTTTTCCCAAGGCGAATTTATACAAGAGTGTATATAAACACGCAATTTGTCCACACGATTGTTTAATGCAACTCTGTATAAAGTAAAGCATTTAAATAATTCTTGAAATTACATTTATGCTAAGCTTTGTTATAAAATTAATAGCTAAGATAATTTTTACATGGCTGTTTGAGTCTTTAATTATTATTTTTCAATGTTTTGACAATGAATTGACACATGTATTAACTGAGTTGCATCGGGATAAACTCGGTTTGAAAGTGTGTTCGGTCGACTCATTTCTTGTGTTGCATATAAACACTTGCATTTCAAGCGAGCTACGCTGACACGAGTTAATTCGATACCGCGTTTGATGCCATATAAACAAGGTAACTGTTCACATGCTTGGCACGCAAACTTTTGCAGCGTTTGGTCCATTGGTCCAATTTTTTTTAAATGGTCACAAGCCTTTGGTTAGGTTATACTTAGTTTCGCGTTTTCAATTTTTTCTATTTAAATAATTGATGAATATTCCGTCCTTTGTTGAATATCGTCATCGTCACTAAAAGTGCCATTGTCAGCCTATGTTACTGATGCGCAGCATAGGGCCCATTGGCAACACCTGCTGAAAGTGTGAACTCGTCTTGCTACTGATCTTCAAATATGGCATCGCTAATTATCTGTCGAAGCAAGCGACAAGAAATATCGCGGTTTCTAGCTAATTTCAAGGTAGCAAAACTTAAATCATAGCATTTAGCACATGAAAATAATGTTCGATTTCAATCGAAAAGATATTAAACATTTTCAAATTATTTCACGACGTGAAGTTCTTTCTGATACTGATGTATCAATTTTGCCGCTACTCGACCAATTTCCTGCATTGGTAAATGATGCAGACATAATTGAATTTCAATTTCGCAAACTGAGGCTGAGTGAAGGTAACTTCAAAAACTATTCCAGTATAGGACGTTTTTGGGATCAAGTAAGTTTGATTAAAAATGGATTGGATGAAGCGGCCTTTGGAGAATTGTGTGATTTAGTTCATAACATTTTTAGTCTGCCGCAGCCGCTGAGCGCAAATTTTTTGATTTAGCATTAATAAAAACGAAATTAAGAAACTATTTATAATTTAAAACTTTAAATAATATAAGGTTAAAAATATACAATTGTAATGCACTTTGGATGCAATATAAAAAAAAATCGTTATAAAAACTGAATTGGCATATCATCTTGATAAAGAGGAATAAACTCCACTCAATTTCCCGATCTAATAAAAATTGGTCCATTTTTTACCATTTGGTCCATTTTGTGGTCCTAAAAATAAATTGGAAATGGCAACCGTGCCCGGATGTTTTTGTATTCGTGTGGGCCGCACTGCTGTAGAGCCTATAACGCACTTGTAACTGAGCGTGTGTACCGTTGATATGTACATTTGTAAGTATCTATCTAAGCCTACATTCATACATATGTACCTACGCACATAGGCATGCTTTGTATACGTACATATGTATTTCGGCTTGGAACACGTCGACATCTATAGCAACATAATC